CCCCTGCCATGGTCGCTTCAATGCTGATCTTGGCCGTCGCCGAGGCCCCAAAGCCCGCAGGCGGGGGCATGGGGTCCGAGCGGTGGGGCCCCCCACCGTACCTCCCCCCCATGTGGGGTGGGGGTGGTGGCCCCTGCCCTCCTACTCCCATCATGGAGCGGGGGTCGTCGTGTGGGGGCAGAAACGTGGGCCTGCCGAGCTCATGCTCGCCGTGGGCGAAGTTGCACTTGTCCCCGTACTTGCAGCCCTCGCCCGAAGCAAACCGGTTGCACAGACGGGTCTTCACGGCTGGCGGGGAGGACCCGTCGGGAAAAGATGGGGGACCCATCGGGTTCCGTGCGTTGGGCGGCAAGGCTGGGTTGTTTCCGAGGATCTGAGTGACGGCCTTGATACCGCCAGGGACGTAGTGCAGGAAGTGGCATCCCTCGCCGAAAGGGCAGCCGGAAGCACTGCATGCAAAAAGATCGTTAGCAATTAATAGAATATATTAAAAAAAAAATGACAGAAGTTCAGTTTCTTTGACAATATGTATGGCCAAAGTTCTGTTATCAGAGCAATACCACGCAGGGCACTGTACATACCGTTACCTCTCAACTGTGCACGAATAAATAGTATTTATTATTAAAAAGCTGAGATCCACGGATTAGCCTCTCTCTTCCAATGCAGATGTTATTACCAGTCAACATATTTGCAGAAAGAAAAACAGAAATAGAAAAAGAACTAGACCCACTATAGAAGTCCATACTACTACCAAGACGATTCTGCCAAAAGAAAAAAAAAATGAAGTTTTGTGTTTCAAAATGCTTGATTGATTACCTCTTGAGTTTGAAAAGGAAAAGGAAAGCAAACACATAATAATATGACAGATTGATGATTCAACACTCCACAAGCATGGGGCACACAGATATTCATAATAATACAATATAGAATCATCATACAACCTCAGCATTGGAATAAAACCACATCCCAGTAAGTTAAATTATGAAAATGTGGTCTACAAAAAGAAACGACTTCTGGTGATCATGGTTTTAAAATGAAGTCATGAAATGGACGGAGAATTTGAGATAGTAAAACAGAATGCCATAAATGTGATTTTGTTTCAGGTATACTTCAAGTATGCTCAAATAACACATTTACCAAGCAATTCCATGCATTAAGTACTTCCAGATTGCAGCACCCAAGAAGGCCTATAGCTACTATGCCTAACAGCAATATAAAATGGCAAAAGATCTACTTGTGGGATGACAACAAATCATGTTTTAACTATCAATTGACAATTCTATACATCACACCAATGTAATCGTGAATAAAATTCATCCAAGTGTCATGACACGTTCAATTCCTTCAAATCTATATTAAGCAATCAAATGGCCATGGTGAAACAGAGTAAAAATTGGCACTTCATAAATCCACACTTCTCTGTGAGGTAGTAGGAAAATCAGTAAACCAACAAGTGCAAGGCTGCAAGCCTCTTTTGACATAATTATATAGAATTAGACCAACAGGATAAGTAGCCTTAGTTTAATATAATGATCACTGAGAACCTCAGATGCTAAAAATCATAGAACAATACTATCCAGCAGACGTCATGACTAAAACATCTTCACTAAGCATATTGGCATGAAAATTCTCCTCACAACAGCATAAACACGATGACGATGATGATGAATGGCCTCAAAATTTATATTTTTAACCAACTAAAATAGTGCATCTACACTCATTAACAGCCGTTTCCATCCACCAGATATTTTGTTCTCCAACCAAGAGGTTTAATTCAATAGATTCATTCATCCATTTCCATTCAACTGCCTTCATTACCGATTAACAAAGAGAAGAACCTGTGTCACAAACTTAAATTTCAATTCATTAGTTCCAATAATTCTATTGTTTACCATGGGAAGAGAGGAATCTCGGTGCCAATTTGTAATCACTATAAATACATAATGTATAAAACAATTTACACTTAAGGCAATTAACTTTAGATAAGTTTAAGATTAGAACCTGAAAAACTTTGTGCAAGGCTTCGATTTGCTTCCTATACCAGGTGTATTTGACTCCATTTCTGTCGCAAAGAATTAGTAGTCTTCTCAGTTATAATTCTGTGAGTTGTTAATCACCAAACTTCTAAACACCTTTAAACCACATACTACCGTTTACAGTGTCTGTCGATAATTTGAAAGATATTGACAATGAAATCATCACTAAGCCTCCTTCTACTCTTTCGGTTTTCCTTGTTTTTAAGAAATGCAAAATTTAATCTGAAGGCATCTAGTTGGGACAAAAAAAGAATCAACCAGCCAATAAATCTTATCTATAATTTGGAAATAAACGATTCACAAAAACTAAAACTAAACAAACCACTGCATAAAGTACATGAAACCTTCAACCACGTTCTAGTTAATACTTACGACACAGCATAGTCTTCTCAACCAAAACCATTTGAGTAAATCAAAGATATAACGGGTTTATGTGGACACAGGGTCTCATAACTAGGAAGTTAACTTCAAGGAACTTGTAACTACAAACCGAAAAACACCAACATGTATCACAGATACTATAATCCCCCAAGAACGAAACTTTTTCAAGCTGCTGAAGATTGAGCAACAAGCAAAATAAGAAAATTCAGGAACCAAGAAAAAACAAACCCTAGATTTAATGCACAGAGAGCAAGTATATAGAGAACATTAAGGATAACAAAGGAGTACCTTGCTTGGATTTCTTGAAACCGCCATTTCCATTAAGCCCACCTTCGAATCTGCCTCTTTTTCTCGGCCCTCCAAACTCCATATCCCAAATATATAACAGTAGACTTCAGCAACAGAAAAACCCAGAGCCAGAGTTCAAAAATGAAGAACAAGATGAATGAGGCGAGGTACAACGGAAACAACTAGGCGAAAAGGAAAACTAGAGAAAGACCAAGTAATAGAACCCTAGAGAGAGAAAGTACGCTGCATAAACGCGCACGCCAGAGAGAGGAGAAGGTGAATTCGTGATTGAGCATATAAAAAGAGCTTATGGCATGTGAATTTTTCACGGGCGCTCACCGCTGTTGGACAAGATTCTTGAGTTGGTCCAGCACTTTGCGGCCTTTTGGGCCAAAGATTATTTGGGCTTCTCAATTTGTTTGTATATTATATTTAAAATAACTAATAAATAATATTAAATAATAATTATAAATAGGTCTCGAATTCGAGTCATTCAATAAAAGGAGTGGGAATCAATGGTATCTTCTTTTAAAAGAGCAAGAAAAAAAAGTATATTACAAATTAAAGATGAATATAAATAATATTAAATAATAATTAATTATAAATAGGTATCGAGTTCGAGTTAACCATCAAAGGAGTGGAGAACCACTATTATCCTCTTTTAAAAGAGAAAAAAAAAATATATAAATTAAATATGAGAGTAAATAATATTAAATAATATTTATAAATTAAAGATGTGAGGTTAACATATAATTTATTGTATATCAGTTTATTATCAACAATATAAAATTAACTTGTACAAGATAACATAAAATTTGTATACTTAAAATGTTAAAAACATGTAAAAGTATGTAAACGATTTCTGTATTATTATTAAAAATATTTGAATTTCACATTTGTATGAAAGATGTTTTCTAAACTCTTTTGTAAAGAAAATATGTCTAAAAATATTTAAATTTAATATATATATATATGTGTGTGTGTGTGTGTGTGTTTATGTAGATATAATATGACATGATAAAATATTATATAAAAGTACTTAAAATATTATAAGCCTAAATAAAGAAATTATAATTTTTTTGAGAGAAAAATTACATAGTATATATAAAATAAATGTTGACATGAGATACTTCTGAAAATTTGAGTACATAATATTTCAAAATTATTATTATTATTATTATTATTATTTTGTAAGTTTGTTACCTTTAAAAAAAAAATTTGTACACATGACAATTCCACGCTTTATGCAGATTTATTAATTTTACAAGTACAGTAATGTAAATTGTAACAAATAAAATGGGATTTTATGTATAACTAATGATCAGACAAAAATTTAAAACAAACATGATCCCAAATTATGACTGTACTTTCGAAAATTTGAGTACATAATATTTTAAAATTATTATTTTTCTGTAATTTGTTACCGTTAAAAAGAAATTTTGTACACATAACAATTTCACGCTTTATGCAGATTTATTAATTTTACAAATACAGCTCAGAGATTAATGTAAACTGTATATATAACTGATAATCGGACAATAATTGAAAGTAATAGTTAATTTTGCATTTCTTCTATTAACTTTTTGTTATATGTATTTAATATTATTGAGGGATAAAAATTTGATAAATATATTAAAGACATCTAAAATATTATTTCATATATTTAAAAAGTATATGAAATATTCTATATTATTTTTGAAAAATATTTAAAGCCACTTTTAAACTACTTTTTAAGAAAAACATGTAAAAAAAAATACTATATATATATATATATATATGTATATATATATATGTATAGCTCCTTAATCTTTGTCCAAATAATGTTTAAAATATCTAAAATATTATAAGTGTTAATAATATTTGAAAAAAATATTAGTATTTAGATGGGTGAAAATTAACTTTTTTTTTAAAAAAAATTCTTACCGTAAATCAATAATTTATATTAGCAACTAGACATAGTGAATAGTGAATTAACTTTTGTTAAGATATTTTTTTTTTTTTTTTTGTTACGATAGTTTTTTTAAAACATCTGTTAGAATATATAGATAAGAGGTTAGATTTTTTTTAAATTTAAATAGATTTTGTAGGATTACTATTGTATTTTGTTAGTATAACAGAATCTTCGATAGTTTTTTAAAACATATGTTATAACATATAGATAAGGGATGAGATTTTTAAAATTTAAATGGATTGTGTATGATTACGATGAGATTTTGTAAGTATAATAGATTTTTCGTACAATAATATGGTCTGATCTTTAAGGGCAACAACCGTGTGTATGGAACTAAAAGCCAATATGAGGTTTTGTAAGTATATTAGGATTCTTCAAATTTTAAATTTGATTACAAGGATTTTTTTGCAACCGATTTAAAAAATTTACACGGACATATATAAAGCATTTAATGCATGCATGTCTTGAGGAGAGATAAAATTTGCTATTAATAGAAATAATTTAATGCTAATCCACTTTGACATTAAGTTGACTTACCATTTTAAAAAAGGTTATTCTTTTTATATAAGTATAGATTTCATATTTCATAAATTCTCAATATAATGAGAAAGATAATTATAAATGAGGGAAATGCTAAAGTCCTGTTAGTCTGTTACAGAACCATTCCGTCGAGATTTGTAACCGTTAGATCATCATGTAACTGTCAATGATAATTGATATAACGGTTAAAACCCAGACGGAATGGTTCCGTAACGAGACCGTAACATCTTCCTATAAATTAATAACGTCGGTTAATTAATGGATGAAATTACATCAAGTACATTTATTTAACTATCATACGAATAATATATTTAGCAATAATTAATAAACCATGCTATAGAACAACAACTCTCATGGTAAAGCTATAGAACAACTCTCATGGTAAAGATAAAGATTTCATGTCTTCAAAATCTTTCATTGTTTTTTGAAATATGTTCATATTAATCAATAGTGTGACACATTTTCTCTCAATGAATATGGAACTATCTTGACTTGTATTATGGTTTTGCTGTGAAATCAACATTTGCCTTCACAATAGTGCTAACTTTCTATATACAACAAGTAAATTATACCATAATCTTTATTTACTTAGATAAATATAATAATTTTTATTAATATTATATTAATTACTGTTGTATATAAAATGTTGGCTCTACTATGGACCACTGTTGACATCATAACAAAACTGTATTTTATTAAATGTAAAAGAAGAGACTATGGACTCATTTGTTTATTAGCTGATTGATGCTAAATTAGTGGATTGAATCTCATTAGAGGTTCGGTCAATCAAATTTGCTAACTAGGTTGTTTGGTAATGAATTTGTTTGATTAGCTTTTTGTCTGAAAACGCTAATTCTGAAGAGACTCAAAAAGGGCAGCATTAAAAAAGCACAATATAACTACAAATTTTCATATTTACCGAATAATTATTTGACAAGTACCTAATTAAATTCGCTAATCAAACCATCTAATACAAATGCTTTCTACTATATGCTATCCAATTAATATAATCCAACTAAATTATATGCTCTCCAATTAATGGGAAACACTACAGTTTCGTGGGGAATGATTCCCTCAAATCAATATAAGCCATTAGATGTATATTAGTTTTTATATGGACTCTTAGGGTGTCTCCAATGGTTAGCTATTTGACTAGCTATTATGACGTGGACAGGGGAAAAGTAAGAGAGAGAGTAGTCACTAGCTACTAACAAATAGCTTATCTATTTCACGTAGCTCAATATCATGTGAGAGGAATATGTGGGTCCAATAGCATAAAATAGTCATTTTTCT